AGGGTTCGGATCCCATATACAGACCGGTTCCTGCTCACTGGCTGAGCGAGGTGCGGGGGCAGCACCGAGGGTTGCGATCCCGTTGCCGGTCCCGGTCCGGTACGGGGGCGACACTGAGGGTTGCGATCCGTTGCCGGACACGGAAAAAGACAAAAAAAAAAAAGAAGGAAGGCCCCTGCCTCTTCTTGGGGGAGGAATGCTGTTATTACATAAATGAGTCCAGGGTGATCCAAGACAACTTAAACCATTTCACTGAACCCTTGGATACCCTGGTTTATGCCCCTACCAGGACCCCTAACTGTGCTGGGACTCAGCCTACTTTTTGGTCCCTGTCTCTTGGTGTTTCTCTAATTTCTTGCAGGAACGTATGCAGGCTCTCACCAACCAAAAGGTTGCCAAATAGTTCCTGCAAGGAGGATATCAGCCCCTCAGAATCAGCGACCCTTCCCCAGCGGAGTACAACCTCCCCACACAAAAGCAGTACCCCGCCACCTAAATCTTTTATTTTTTCCATATCTTCGCCCATCTCCAGCAGGAAGTAGCTTCAGAAGAATGAGACCTCTGCCCTTTTCCCCTTTTTCCTATACTTAAAAGGCAGGAATAATAGATCTGCAACATAACCAGCACCACTTTAGACAAGCCCAAGTACACAATGGCGCTGCCCGCCTCCTGCCCTTCCCCATTCTCTTTTACAAGAAGCCTCATGGTTTCAGAGAAAATGCCACATGCGCAGAACTCTCCATTCCCATGACCTAACTCAATCCCCACCCTGGAATTATATCACCCAGCTCTTGGAGCCAACATACCAATATAAGCTCTACCACCCCCACACCTGGTGCTGTCCCCTTTTCAGGGCAGCCCTGGGCTGCCTGCTACTTTGACCAGAGCCCAGCAGATTTTCTTCCTTTAATAAAGCTTGAACAGTACCCGGCATCTTGGCTCACTTTCAGTTACTGGGAAGTCATTTTGTACACCCTGACCTTTCTCTTGGCTGTGATAGGCTAAAGAGGCTTTTTAAATGGAGTTGATTAAAGTTTTTCCTCAGAAGTTTTGTTGGTCAGAAGTATCTTAAAAGAAATTTGGACTGGGCTTGTAGCCAGTTTGTTGTATATATAACAAAAACAACAGTCGTTAAAATTCTGTGTAAAGTTCCAAATTAGCAGATTTTACTGACTTGTTCCCTGCATTTGAAAAGGAAATTTGATGTTGTAGCTTTACCAAAACTGATTTTTGACCCGGATTCTTCATTTTTGAACTTCCATGAAGGTCTGCCAGGAGTAAACAGGAGCAGAGCCATTATGGGGCTGATTCCAAATGAGTTCAGTCTTGCTGTAGGAATGGTCCAAACCCTTGCTTTTCCTTGGTAGTTTTTCTGCTATTAGAGTCTGTCTGCTTCTAACCAGGGGCATCCATGCTTTTTAAAATTTTGGGCCACATTACTACAAATTCACATGTCTACAAGCTCTGTGCTTTCTCTTTTGATAATGGTGGTGACTTATAGTTTGTTAGATCTTTAGAACCAAGTATTTTAAAATAGTAATAAAAATATTTCAAAAAACAGTTTGCTCAGTTAGGTATAGTGCTATGTCTAAATTATGGCCAGATATAACTTGTAATAGATTTGATTTAGTTTCAAGAACTTTGTGGTATAGATGTCTTTTATTCTAGTTTTATGTTGTTGATAGTTTCTGGAAAGTAACTATACATTGAGTCAGCTGACCCAAACATTCCTCAGAACTTGGCCACTTAGAAGTTTCCAAATCATTCTGGGATAGACGCTCTGTATTCTGTTGTACCAAGTTTAGCTAAGTCCAGTCCATATAGCCTGTGGTGTTTATTCCAAAAGGTACCCTAGAAACGTAATGCATAATTCATATTTGTCAAAACCTGTGACATTAGCTTTATTTCCACTAAGTAGCTCTGCATTTTTGTTGTTGTTGTTAGTCTCAGAGTATTTCAGCAGTGAGTGAGATGTGTCATCACCTTCTGGTCTGCATGTTTGGTTTGAATGAGCCATATATCCTTTAATAAATCCTCGGAGGCTCTCATCCACATGATGAGATGAGACTACGAAGAGTACAAGAGTACTAAGCTGTTGTGTTTCATTTTTTGTTGTTGTTGATTATTTGTTTTTGAATAATAGTGGTTTAGGTTAGTAAGGGACCTTACAGAAAAGTCATCTGAGTTTTCATGTCTCAGCAGAGAGCAGAGGGTTTCAAGTGGTTTGACCAAGACATAGAGATACTGTGAGCTTGAGCTTGAGTTAGAACTCAGCTTCCTTGATTCCTCTCCTAGAGTTCTTTCCCAGGTGGTAAGCTGTATTCTCTGGCATTCCCTTCCCCAGACAGAAACATCACTCCTTATTTTCACTCTTCAGAGCTAATTAGAAGACTGAAAATGTCCATCCAGTTGTATTTTGTCTCTTGAAGACTCACATTTGGTTTCTGCCATCAGGATTCATCTATACCTTTATTTGTTAGTAATTGAAGAGGCAGGTAGTATTTTGCCTTTTGTAAAAGAATATGTTGACATGTTCCTACAACAGATCATTAATGTGACTTACAATATTAGGGAGAATTAATAAAAACACAAACCATTTTGTTATTTCATTTTATAAAATCAATAGGAAGCTGATATGCTATTTACTTTCTTGTATAAATATCCTCGTACTACCTTGCATCAGCATAAATTGAGAAATTCCCAGGTAGCTTTTGCCTCATCTCTTTATCTCTAGAGATTGTTTTCTGCATCGGGTGAGGCCATAAACACATGATTTTTGGGAGGAGTATTATCTTTATCTTGTTAAATTTGCTTGTAACAGTAAAGTTTCTAAAATATAGCTCTTCTGCTGAAGGCAGTAGAAGACTGAGTTTTTATTTGAACACATAGGGAATGGTGAGACCCTCTTGACAAACTGTCATTTTTCTCATCCCAAATTATATCTTTGACCGGGTTAATGTTAATGTGGGAGGTGCCACTGTCTTTATTGTCTCTAAATAAAAATCTTCAGAAAGCTTTTAAACAGATCTATGCTTAAATCTTGTAACCATTACAACCTAGCCCTGTGAAATTTGAGTCCTTGGGACTCATTTTTCTCATTAATAAAGTTGTGGGTATTTCTCTTTACTCCCGGGGATGCTTGAAGGAATATATGAGAGATAGTCTTGGCCTTTAATAGGCACAAAATAATAAAGTTAATTTTCTTCCCATTCTCAGTTCATTATACTTTCTTATCTTTTACTTAGTAAAGGCCTTTATTTTATAAACTGTATCTTTGGTATCTAGTCTTACCTTCACTTTTGTATAGAGATTATATTTTGTAATTTGGGGCTTGATACTTTAAAAAAATAATTATATAAATCTTTGAGTTCATTTTAAAATGTTGCTATAAAAACACTTTGTTTCTTATTTGAGTTGTTATCCTCCTAGAAATTCTAAGAGGTAGTACCTGTTGCCTTTCACTAATTTTTTTTTCTTTCCTGCATTTTTTGGTCTAGCTTTATCAGTGACTACTGAGTAAATCATTTTCTTAAACTTTGGCTGTAATTTTTATTAGTTTTTCTTAATGTTTTAAAGCCCAAAGGCGTACTTTCTCCACAAACGTTTATAATGAATTATAGGTAAACTTAATTATTGGTATTACTTTTTATCAGCCAAACCACTTTTATACCAGAAAAAGGAAAATAAGAAATCATGCTCAAGACATCAGCAAATAAAAAAATAGCATATTATTATTTTCTTTTTTTTTTTTTTGTCTTTTTTGTCTTTTTCCGTGTCCGGCAACGGATCGCAACCCTCAGTGTTGCCCCCGTACCGGACTGGGGACCGGCAACGGGACTGCAACCCTCGGTGTTGCTCCCGCGCCTTGCTCAGCCAGTGAGCGGGAACCGGTCTGTATGTGGGATCCGAACCCTCGGGCGGGAGCGCCGCCGCACTTCCCAAGCGGCGCACTATCCAGTGCGCCACCGGGCCGGCCCCATATTATTATTTTCTGATCACTGTTAATATTGAAGCTCCTTGAGGCCAAGACTCTTGTTTTGTGTTTTATAAAGTTATGTGTGATATGTTGATATTTCTGACCCTGCTCCATCAATTTGCATGATCAGAAGGACCTTTCTTCAGATTTAGCTGGCCCATTGACTGTTATTGTTATACTTTTCTGGAAATTGTTTTGATGCCTTTGGTTTTTTTTTTGTGTGTCAACGTAATAATAAGTCTGTAGTTATGATTTTCCTTTCATAATTATGGTATATTACTTAGAATGACATATATTGATTGACAAAACATTTTATCTAGAAGTGAACTGGAAGTAGTACCCTGAAAACATTTGTAAGCCCATTCAATTATCCGTAATTTATTTCACTTTCCTTTTTTTTTAGCATGTTCCACACTATTCAAGACAGCACTTAATGGTGTCATATAGTCTCAGTTCAGTGGGATATGATCCTAATGAAAAAGTAAGTATTTAAAAAAATATTCTCAACAGCTGAGTTATAATGGTTTTATTTACTCATCTCCACAGTGCTCAGTGAACAGATTAAATTTTATTAATGTCGTATAAATTTATTGCTCTAGCATCATAGGTTGCATAAGTGCTCAACCTTTGTTCCTTTTTTCATTGTGGGCTATACCCTGAGTCTTTTTAATATTGTTTTTGTATCTATACCAAAAATCGAATATATTTACCATGTGGTCTCTTGTTTTCAGCAGAATAACTAATACACTGTTCTTTCATAAATATGGGGCAGTTCAGAGATTTTGATCAAACTACTGAGTTTTTGTTTCATTCACTTAATATTTATATGATGCATTTGGATTGAAGGCAATATGCACATTGTAAATTTTGGAACAAGGGAATTCCAGTTAAAATCTTGATATATGGTAATGTTTGAACCTTGTAATAGGAGAGATAAAAAGGGAATGGAAGTGGTGATTGGAAATAAAACATGGGGTAGTGGTGATGAAAACATCAAAGTGGGCTGGAGGAGAGTTTTGGTTAAGAAGAGAATGTTCAAGGTGAATGTCATGAAAGTGGAACTGATATGAATGATTATTTGAGAATTACATAGCTGAGTTATCTTCTAAATCATCTGCTGAAGTGAACAAAACTACTTTCCAGATTCCTTTGAATCTAGAGGCTTGGGGGAAGAAATAGTCTACATCCATGCAGTCCAATAGAAATATAATGTAAGACACAATTGCAGGGCAAATGTAATTTAGATTTTCTAATAGCCACATTAAAAAAAGTAAAAAGAACAGGTGAAGTTAATTTTAATAATATTTTATTTAACTCAATATCTAAAATGTTATTTCAATATATAATCCATATAAAAAGTATTAGTGAGACAGTTAAGATACTTTTTTTTTTTGTACCAGGTCTTCTAAAATCCAGTGTATATTTTACACTTCTGGCCCATCTTAGTTTGATTAGCCACATTTGAAGTGTTCAGTAGCCTCATGTGGCTAGTGGCTACCATATCAGACAGTGCAGGTATAAATGAATTAGCTATGATAAACTCCTTGATATGAGTTTAATTTTAAAACTTCATCATAGGCAGTATGCTTTGGGGTTTATGTGTATATATGCTTGTGCAGACATGTATTGAGTTCCAATCTATAGGTAATAAGCTATCTTAATTGGGAACATTAGGAGTGTTAGCTAACATTTATTCAAGAGGCCACATTCCAGAAGGGAGGAATACTACAAGTGGTTCAGCCATCTTTCTCCCTATAAACACTGGTAGTCTTCCTCATTAGCATAATAGGTGTTAGAAATGGGCTGTCATTGATGGAATTAGTGGTATTCAAGGTATGTATATTGGCCATTACTTAAGAGAAATTCTCTGCCTTTGTAACATAATATATAACAATGTCATTAGCTTTTTATTCTTTACCTGTAACGACAACACCCAGGCTTGATCCATAAATGAAATACTCCTGTGTTTAGCCCCTGGTCTGGTGGGTTCTTGATGGTTTGAGTCTGACAATATGGTTACCCAAATCAGAATATCAATGCCTTTGCCTCAGGTGAAAACTTCCTGCAGGCTGTTTGAGCATTACAGAGTGCAGGAGGTTGAGACTTCTTGAGCTTATTGATCAAGTTTTAAGGTTCTTTTTATGTCTGTTAATAAATGTTCATATGTGTTGGAGAGTTTGGTCTGGGACTTGCTGTAGCTAACTCACCTCCCACATTGGTGGCTACTGATAATTACTAAAAATAAATGAATACATGTGGCATAACTATTTTGGTTTAGGACATTTAAAGAGAGCCACTGTCCCCTTGGGATCCACTAAGCTGTTACGTATTTTGTTGTAAATATCTGAAACCATATCTTCTCCCTGTTATCTTTGCCATCTCCTTTGCTGTGCCCTTGCCTAAGGTAATTGTGGAGAAACTGTATGGCAACCTCAGTGATGGGTGTTTTTTGGCACCCATGGGCAGTACAGGTACATGTTCAGATGAAGTTGGTGGCCTCATTCTACTTGAGGGTTGCATTTAATTTGACCTTTCTCCTTCCAGGGATTCCTGCTGTCCTTGTAGCTATTCATTAAATATGAGCTAGTTTGTTGTTACCATCCTAAGTGCAAGTAGACTTGATCTTTTGTAACATATATTTATTAAATTGATTCTTATCTGAACCTGTTAGTGACCCCTTTTTTATTCCACAATTTATCAGTGGCTGACATTGTCAGAATTAAGCCAGGCGAAATTTAATCATTTTTGCAAACATTATTTTTTAGCTCGGGTTTTAACAAGTCAACTTGTTGTCTCATATGTGGTCATGACAGTAAGAATTAACTTCATGATAATTTGCTTAGAAAAAGACCAGAAAGTTTCAGTAGGCCTTCAGTTGGTCTGAGCCAGTACAGCACTGTGGTGTGCCTTCCATAACAAATACGATCTTAGGTGGCATTAATAATACAGTGTTTAGAGCTTGCACCATTATATTCTGATCATGTCATATCATGGTGTGCTCTGACATGAATACTTGGGTCTGAACTCTGGCTTTACCACTAGTTAGTAATGTAAGTGTCTTAGTCAAGTGATTTGGCCTCACCAAGCCTTAGTATTCTCATTTGTAAAATGGGGATAGTGTCAGAACTAACTTCATGGGACTATTATGAGGATAAATATTATCCACATGACTATTACTGAATAAATGAAATAATGCACAGAAAGGATTTGTCACAGTGCCTGGTGTATAGAAGCATGTGCCGTAAATGTCAGCTGCTTAATATTATCCTTAACAACTCACTTTTTTACATTTGGAAACTGAGGCAAAAAACCCACAGATAGTAAATGTAAGCTGGGTGTAAAACTCAAGCTTGTCTTTCTCCAGAGCTGGTGGGCTTACCCATTGTGCTGTACCCTTTCTCAGAAGTGTTGAGCAAGTAAGTACTCAGTGTCCAGAGTTCTGCTGTCATTCCAACAAGTACCTAGCATAAGGGGCCAGCTCAGTCCTCTTGGTCTCTGAATGGAGTGAGTGCCAGCTGTGGTTTTAGACCCTAGCAATGGAGATCTAAACATAGGGAAGGGAAAGAAGGAAGGAGTGATAGAGAGAGAAAATGGATTAAAAGAAAAATAACCCAAAAAATTCCTCAGGAAACATTTTACTCAGATGACATCATTAGAACAGTGTTAGAATAGTTGCTGCAGGGCCGGCCTGGTGGCGCACTTGGTAGAGTGCGGCGGCGCTCCTGCCGAGGGTTCGGATCTCATATAGAGACCGGTCTGCTCACTGGTTGAGCATGGTGCGGGCGCGACACCGAGGGTTGCAATACCGTTGCCGGTCGCGGTACGAGCATGACACTGAGGGTTGCGATCCCGTTACCGGTCACGAAAAAAGACAAAAGGAAAAAAAAAAAAAAAAAAAAAGAATAGTTGCTGCAAAAGCTCTTTATCTTATCTTGTACCTGAAAGTCCCTCTGTTACCAGGGATTTAGGTTCCTGATTTATATTGCTGTCTTATTTTTTCCTGGATGTCTTCAGGGTGCCTGGTAAAGTACCAGTTCCTTAAGTGGCATATAAGTCCTTTCGTGTTCTGTCCTTTTTCACCCTAGCTTTATTTGCTGCGGTTCCCCCATACATAGTGTGTGCTTTAGCCATACTAAAAATTCCTTGTTTTTTAGTATTGCCCTCTTCTTTCAGTGTCACTGTCTTTACACTTGCTATTCATACTCTCCCTTCTCTATACACAGCATCCTGAACATCCAGCATGGGCAGTTTGGCTCTCTGCCTCTGGAACAGAAATTAGAATGGGATTCTCACTTAATCCTTATAATGTTATCAAAATTTGTTATATCATAATTTGTTATATTGCTATAACAATTGCTTCATGTGTAACTTCTAGCAATGATGTTTGTGGTGCTTTTATCAGATGTAGTCTAACACTTAATAAAACTTCACATTTTAAAATGTAGTTCAGGGAAGTATAAACATTGTTTTCTTAGGATATGCTTGCTGTTTAATAGGGATTTACCATGACCTTTTGGATATATGAGGGTACTTCAAAAAGTCTGTGGAAGAAATAGAAGTAGAAGATTTTACATTCTCAGGCCTGAGGTGAGAATAGATTTTTAAGGGCCCATGTGATCAAGGTTCTGAATAGTTCAGGATTCTATTCAGTTAGAAGTTTACCAGTTTTGGGGCCGGCCCAGTGGCGCACTGTGCTAGTGCGCCGCTTGGGAAGTGTGGTGGTGCTCCCGCCGAGGGTTCGGATCCCACATACAGACCGGTTCCCGCTCACTGGCTGAGCGAGGTGCGGGGGCAACACCGAGGGTTGCGATCCCGTTGCCGGTCCCAGTCCGGTACGGGGGCGACACTGAGGGTTGCGATCCGTTGCCGGACACGGAAAAAGACAAAAGAAAAAAAAAAAAAAAAAAAAAAAAAAAGAAGTTTACCAGTTTTTAAGATAGAGGCTTGTCTCAGGTTGATGGAATAAGCCATGTGTGATATAAAGGTTAAACCAAGACTTTGAAAGCCTCTTCCAATTCTGAGATTCTGCACTTTCTCTGTAGGTTAAAATACTGCTTTGAGTTATACAAGAGTACTTTTCTAAAGTTCATATGTAACTTTTCTTTTAGTAATATTTCCAGAACTTTTTTTTACAGTCTCATTTAACTTATTTACTAACCCAGAAATAATCGTGTACTAATATGCATTGCATCCAACTTACCTAAATTGTGTGTGTTTTCTAAAAAAGGATTAGCTTGTACAATTTTAGAGTTGGAAGAAGACCTTACTAATAGTTTTCCATTAGAGTGCTATCAATTTATATAAGTGGAAATCAGCACCTACAGAGGTTGATTTGCTTAAAGTCAAATGGGTCATTAGTGGCAAAGCTGGGCTTGGAAATTAGGTCCCTTGATACACACAGGATGGAACTACTCTATTATTTGGCTGAGGTTGCTTCAGAATTTGATGGTTATTCAAACTTAACATTATATTCAAATGGCATTATCTATTTGGTATGGGAATTTTTGGATATGAGCACAATTGGTATCTGTTCTGAGTTATTGAAAATTTGCCTCATACCAACAGAGATGGAATATAAGTTATACTTATATTAGACTTTTGTTTGATAAACAACTCATGACACTTAGAATTTCCCAGAATTTAGAAAATAAATTGTTAAGCAATTTTGTCTAAAGTTATTTAGTGTTCTGAAATATCATTCAAAGTCTTTTTTTTTTTTTGGCAAGATAACTTATAAATACCCACTTAGTTCACTTGTGAATAAATTAACATAGTCACTTGATGCTTTATCAAAGTAATTACAAGGCCAGGTCCTATCAGATGAGTTTAGTAGTTCCCTGGTTGTAAATTAACATATTATTTATAGTATTTAACATTACTCTAGGAAGTAACATTTATTAGGGTCATATCCATTGTTAATTGTGGAAAAAATTATTGTTTTCTGTCCCAAAGCAAGAGTAACAAATTTTAATGTGTTTTTTTCTCTCTTCAGACATTTGACAAAATTCTTGTTGCTAATAGAGGAGAAATTGCATGTAGGGTGAGTAGAATTTTAATTTCATTTTCCATTTTACTCTATCAAATTTATTATTATTAAATCTTTTAAAATATGAATCACTATTAATTGATAACATTAATGTATTTTAAAATAGGTTATTAAAACTTGCAAGAGGATGGGCATTAAGACCGTTGCCATCCACAGTGATGTTGATGCTAGTTCTGTAAGTATATTTTTGCCTTGTTTAAATCAGGACTTAATTTCGGGTCAAGCAGAAAAAAAAGTGAAAGATATAGTTTTTTCCCCTCTTGGCCTGCAAGGGGTATATTCAATTTTTAAAACCATTTATTTAATTGTGCACTGTTGTATTAAGCAAAATGGAAGTATCATAAGTCTTCTATATGTTTTAACTATTTTTTTTTTTCAAGGCTTTAAAAACCTAGAATAGGCTAAAAAATTGCCAGGCTAATTGTTGGTCACCTAGTAGATTTAAGCAAAACATGAGAAACTTACATTCAAAGATTAACGAACTGTTTACACAGTGCTCCCTTATGAGATTACTTTTCCCCACATCATAACTCCAGTATCAGTAAGGGAATGCTATAATTGTTTAACCTTTCTTTCCTAAATGCTTTGAAGTGTTCAGCTGAAAGTTTGATAAATGAGAGATAGGCTAATGCTAATTGGACATGAGCAACAGAAGGTATAGCATAAAGCAGTAAATGATATGTTATTTTATTTGACATTTTAACACAGCAGGCTTTTTTAGCAGTAATGAACTATGTATGAGTAGAAAAAATCCCATGGGAAAAGAATGTAAATTATTGGAATTTTATGGAATGAAATATAAATAGTTGTATTTTAAGTTACTGTTTTTCATTCTTTCATACTATTTTTGATAATAGGACCCTTTGATTAGCTTTTATAGTGTAGTAATTTAATACAGAAACTTTGCAAGTTTTGTGATTTTTAAATTTTGTTTTAACTACAAGTATGTTGTTCATTTTGTCTTATTATGACTCTATTCCTTTTTTCAAGAACAAAATTGTAAACTATCTTACCTAGTTTATTTGACAGGTGCATTTAAAATATTCATCTTTTAGTGAAAAGCAGTTAAATTAAGCAATTAAACTTGTTTTGCGTTCATACTTTTTAAAACATTTAGTTGTGGCTTTAAAATTTGTTTTAACTGTGATAGTTTTAATAGTAACTTATATTTCTTACAAGATATTCATGAAATGATGAGAACTGTTACTTTCATTAATCTATTTCTTGATTGGTAAACTAAGACATTTATCAACAGCAAACTCCTCTAGAAAAAAGTTTGTTAAAGTCACCATCAAGCTAATAACACATTTAAAATTCACACTTCTCATCTTGTGTTTATTGTCAGTGTATTAGCTCATGAGGAGTTTTTATCCATGGATAAATTGAGAGAAAAAAATGTTTGAATTGTGGACAATCACTGTTTTTATTTCAAGTCTAACAGTAACCTTTCACTTATTATTTTTCCATATCAACATAGAGTTAATTCTCTATGCTGCATTTTTATGGAGGTGACTGTTGGCATGGATAGTCCAAAATTATTTATATTTTGTTTGATTTTTTCCTTATATATTTATATTTCAGTGTTGGTATCATAGAATACAGGCATATACTGGAAATATTGAGGGTTCAGTTCCTGACCACCTGAATAAAGCGAATATCATGATAACGCAAGTCACGTGAATTTTTTGGTTTCCCAGTGCATATAAAAGCTATGTTTAGGGCTGGCCCGTGGCTCACTCGGTAGAGTGCGGTGCTGATAACACCAAGGCCCCGGGTTCGGATCCCACATGGGGATGGCCGGTTCGCTCACTGGCTGGGCGTGGTGCTGACAACACCAAGTCAAGGGTTGAGATCCCCTTACCGGTCATCTTTAAAAAAAAAAAAAAAAAAAAAGTTATGTTTACACTATACTGTAATCTGTTAATAGCATTATGCCTAGAAAAACAATGAATGAACCTTAATTAAAAAATACTTTATTGGTAAAAAGTGCTAATGGTCATCTGACTCTTCAGTGAGTTGTAATCTTCTTGCTGGTGGAGGGAATTGCCTTGATGTTGGTGGCTGCTGACTGATCAGGGTGGTGGCTGCTAAAAGTTAGGGTGACTGTGGCAATTTCTTAAAATAAGACAATGAAATTTGCTACACCAGTTGACTCTTCCTTTCTTTTCTTTCTTTTTTTTAAAAAAATATTTATTTATTTTTTATAATTTTTAAAAAATTGACTCTTCCTTTCATGAAAAATTTCTCTGTAGCACGCAATGGTGTTTGATAGCATTTTACTCACAGTAGAACATCTTTCAAAACTGGAGTCAGTCCTCCCAAACCCTGCCACTGCTTTATCTACTAAATTTATGTCAAATTCCAAATTCTTTGTTGTTACTTCAGCAATGTTCAACAATGTAAATAAGGCTGTTTCACCTTCTTATTTCTGTGTTCACTGGAGCAGCACTTTTAATTTCCTTCAAGAATTTTTCCTTTGTATTCACAACTTGGCTAACTGTTTGTCACAAGAGGCCTAGCTTTGGGCCTGTCGTGGCTTTCGACATGCCTTCCATCGATGGAGTATCTTCACCTGGAGTGGATTGCATCTCAAGAAACCATTTTCTTTGCTCATCCATAAGAAGCAGCTCCTCATCCATTAAAATTTTGCCATGAAATTGCAGCAATTCAGTCACATCTCCAGGCTCCATTTCTAGTTTTAATTCTCTTGGTATTTCCACCACATGTGCAATTATTTCCTTCACCGAAGTCTTGAACCACTCAAACTCATCCATGAGGGTTGGAATCAATATCTTCCAAACTCCTGTTAATGTTGATATTTTTACCTTTTCTCATGAATCACGAATATTGTCAGTGGCGTCTACAATGGTGAATCCTTTCCAGGAGGTTTTCAGCTGACTCTGCCCAGATCTGTCAGACAGATCATATCTATGGCAGCAATAGTCTTACGAAATGTATTTCTTAACTAATAACAATTGCAAGTTGAAATTACTCTTTGATCCTGGGCTTCAGAATGAATGTTGTGTTAGCAGGCACAAAAGCATTAATCTCCTTGTACGTCTGCCATCAGAGCTCTTGGGTGACCAGGTGCATTGCCAATGAACAGTAATATTTTGAAAGAATCTTTTTCTCTGAGCAGTAGATCTCAACAGTGGGCTTAAAATATTCAGGAAACCATGCTGTAAACAGATGTGAGTCATTCAGGCTTTGCTCTTCCCTTTACAGAGTACAAGCAGAGTAGATTTAGCATAAATCCCCTAGGATTTTTGGAATGGTCAATGAGCATTGGCTTCAACCTAAAGTTACCAGCTTCATTAGCCCCTAACAAGAGAGTCAGCCTGTCCTTTGAAGCTTTGAAGCCAGCCATTGACTTCTTGTTTCTAGGTGTGGAAGTCTTGGATGGCATCGTCTTCCAACATTAGGTTATTTCATCTGCATTGAAAATCTGTTGTTTAGTGTGGCCACCTTCATCAATGATCTTAGCTAGGTCTTCTGGGAAACTTGCTGCAGCTTCAACATCAGCACTTGTTGCTTCACCTTGCACTTTGATGTTATGGAGATGGCTTCTTTCCTTAAACTTCATAAACCAATCTCTGCTAGCTTCAGACTTTTCTTTTGCAGCTTCCCCACCTGTTTCTCTCTTCATAGAATTAAAGAGAGTTAGGGCCTTGCTCTGGATTAGGTTTTGGCTTAAGGGAATGTTGTGGCTGGTTTGATCTTCTCTCCAGACCACTAAAACTTTCTCCATATCAACAATAAGGTTGTTTTGCTTTCTTATCATTTGTGTGTTTACTGGAGTGGCACTTTTAATTTCCTTCAATAACTTTTCCTTTGCATTCACAACTTGGCTGACTGTTTGGCACAAGAGGCCTGGCTTCTGGCCTGTCTTGGCTTTCAACATGCCTTCCTCACTAAGCCTAATTTTTCCTAGGTTTTGATTTAAAATGAGAGACATGGGACTCTTCTTTTCATTGGAATGCTTAGAGGCCATTATAGGTTTTTAATTGGCCTAATTTCAGTATTGCTGTGTTGCAGGGAATAGGGAGGTCCCAGGAGAGGGAGAAAGATGGGGGAACAGTTGGTCAGTGGAGGAGTCAGAATACATACAACATTTATCGATTAAGTTCACCATCTTATATGGGCATAGTCTGCAGTGCCCCCAAACAGTTACAATAGTAGCATCAAAGATCACAGGTCGCCATAACAGATATGATGTTAATGAAAAAGTATGAAATAGTGTGTGAATTACCAAAATGTGACACAGAGCTGTTGGAAAAATGGCACCAATAGACTTGCTGGATGCAGAGTTGCCACAAACCTTCAACTTGTAAAAAATGCATTATGTGGGAAGCCAAATAAAGCGAAGCTCAAAAAAGTGAGGTATGCCCGTAATCTGTTTCTTAAGTTGTTACCTCAAATGGCATGGCTGACTTTTCCCACTTTTCCATTTCTTGCTTTGTATTCTGATCAAGAGGTAGACAGTCACTTTCCAGACTTTGCAAAAACTGGTTTCTAAAGAGTTGCTGTAAGTTTTGTGTCTTTCCCATTTATACCTTTCCCAAAGCTGATGTGGTAGTTTTACATTTTGAAGACTTTTAGCTACTTCTGGCTGAAAGTAGTAGTCAGTATACCAGAGATTATAATACATAATTTAGAATAAGATTTGCCAGGCCCCACATTGGAAATATTCCATGCTCAGTCAAAACTTTCTCTTAATATGACCTACTGTAAGTCAGTTTCTAGAAAGATACTCTAAGTAGAGCAGAGTGATAATGATGATTGGAATGTTAAAAGTTTAATTTAATCCTCAACGTAGAACTAAATCTGTTATTTGGTTTCTGCTTTAGTTGCAGGAAGGCTGAAAAGGTGAATTCCTCTAACAGCATTTTTTGTTTCCTCAACACATGATCACAGAGGTTAACATCATATCTAATCAACTTTACAATATCAGTAATAAGAACAAGCCATGTTATTCAGCGATAGTGTTAGTGTTTGAATGTTTGTTTTCAAGAGGTGAGCTTCTAAAAAGTAACTTGGAGTAAAAAACCTTACATGCTTTGTGTGTTAATTCCATAAGTTGAAATGTAAGTATTATTGCGGTAGGAAAATACTCCAATAGTTGATTCTAAAGGCTCTTAATTTTATGTCCAAAACAACTAATTTTGAAATAGTTAA